TACGAAGGTTTTGTTGCCCGTAAGAATAGTGGTTTCTGTTTGGGGTGCGCCTTGGTTTGCAGGTGTCATGGGGAGGATTGGAAGGATAGGAAGGGGAGGGGGGAAATGAGATGTATTATAGATCGTGGGATTTTTCATGTATGGTTAGAAGGGAAATGTGTTTTTGTGTTCGGGTGTATTCAGATGATAGAAGCCGGTCGGGAAATTGAGATACGACTTCGATATGAAACTAGAAAGATAGCACGGATGATTACGAAACCCAATATCACATACACATACATAGCTTGAGGTTGATTGAATTTTTATTCATGTATATGCCTACCCACCATCATCAGAAACAATCGTCAGATATGATATTTGGAGCTAATTGTTTGTTGGAGTAAATGACAGAACATCAAATCTAATCTACTTCTCGTAGACCCAGTCGTGTTGAGCGGATTTCCATGAGAGAACCTCACCCTCCTTGAACCAGAGAGCAATCTCCTTCTTGGCGTTCTCGACGGAGTCGGAACCGTGGCAGACGTTGCGTCCGACATCGATGGCGTAGTCACCACGGATGGTACCTGGGGCAGATGCCAATGGGTTGGTGGCACCGAGGAGGGCTGAAGAGAAAGAGTTAGATGGTGGCTGGTGGGATAAGTAAGAGAAAAGGGATTACTTACTACGGCCGGTCTTGACGGCATCACGTCCTTCCCAGACCATGGCGCAGATTGGGCCAGAGTTCATGTCTAGGTATTGTTAGATACGTGTGTGCTGTGTAGGTGTGTTATAAATGGCAGATACGTACAGTTGACGAGACCAGCGAAGAATGGCTTGTCGGAGAGATCAGCGTCTGGGACAGGTGTTAGTATCAGTAGTCCTGTAGCGTATATTTCCTCATGTACTGACAGTGCTTCTCGAGGTGGTCCTTTCCTGGGGTGGTGAGCTTGATGGCAGCAAGCTTGTAACTGTTTCTTATGTCAACAAAGCTCAAATATTCTTTGCAAAATGTAAACCTACCCACGAGCCTCAAATCGGCTGATGATTGGGCCAACGAGTCCACGCTGAATTCAATCTCAATCAGTATACTGTCATCCTCTTCTTTCTATGTAGAAAAGTATTTGCATACCTGGACACCATCTGGCTTGATGGCAATGAAGCTATTCGACACAAAGACGTTAGTATACACCGCTAATACTTTGTTGACGTGGGGTAACTCTCTTTCAAGAGTAAAGAAAGCATCACTCTCACAGGAATAGATGGATAGAATAAGGAACTTACGTTTGTTCGGTAGACATGGTATCGTCGTTTGATCTGGCAGATTCTTCTCTGTGTTTTGCTGATGCTCTTAAGAGTGCTTGAGTTTTAGGATTGACGTGCTTTAAAATCGATTCGGGGGCTTCACTCATATTTTAAATTCTTTTAGGTTGAGGTGTGTTGTTTAGTGGGGTTTCCTTGGTGGGGTGTGGCAGGAGGGGCGGCAGGGTACCCTTTTTTTGCTTGTGGAGCCTTAGATGTGAGGCATCAGCAAGGGTATCTTTATGTAATTCGCATAAAAAGGTTCCCACCATGGTTCGTGGGCAATTGTATCGCCAATAAAACTTTATGCACATGTTATGCTAAAGGTACGACCGGGGAGCTGAGCTTTGATCGTCATTGGTGAAGCGGAACAGGACAGCTTGGAAACCTCAACCCCCCCCCAACATAAGACTTCAATTCTTTATGGTTCTGTTGTACAAGCCATTTGTTCATATATCGAGCTATTTAGCATCTTGATTTCATCTGAATTGAGTGCAATTGCTAGATATTGCATGTCTTTTCAATCATGAAGTCACCATTAAATCTGTCCTCACAATGGACTGGATATTTAGTTTTGTTATCAACATTTGGCAGCTTGATTACACCAGCTAGTGAGGATGCCAACAACAGCTTTATGTGTAGAACCCACTAACAATCCAAACAGTATCTGTGAAGCATGAGAATTTCAAAACATGCGATCAATCTGGATTCTGCAAACGAAATCGAGCATATGCGGATCAAGCAACAGCAGTGGGAGATGATTGGAGCTTACAAGCTCCTTATCGACTGGCTTCAGAGACGTTAACATGGAAGGATGGTCAGCTACAAGGAACCATCCTCAAGAAATTGAGTGGAGGAGAGTCGGTCAGGTTACCGATTGTCATTTCGTTCCTCGAATCGGGATCTGCGAGAGTTACGATTGATGAAGAAAAACGTCAAACGGGCGAGATTGAATTAAGACATGGTAGTAAAGCTAGAAAGGAACGTTATAATGAGGCCGCAAACTGGGCAGTTGTGGGAGGGTTGAGTTTGAGTAAGGATGCAGAGTATAAGAAGTACCCTGGAGCTTCGCACATTACATTTGGCCCAGATGGCAAGTTCAAGGCGGAAGTTACACATGCTCCATTTGCAATCGATTTCAAGAGGGATGACGAGATACAAATTAAGTTTAATGAACGGGGATTGATGAACATGGAACATTGGAGACCGAAGATTGAGAAGCCAGAAAAGAAAGAGGGCGAAGAAGAGTCAGCCGAAGTTCAAACCGGCGAAGATGAGTCGACCTGGTGGGATGAATCTTTCGGTGGAAATACCGACTCAAAACCTAAGGGTCCTGAGAGTGTTTCTCTTGATATTACTTTTCCCGGATATGAGCATGTTTTCGGTATCCCAGAACATGCTGGACCTTTGTCATTGAAGCAAACTCGAGGCGGAGAGGGCAATCATAAAGATCCTTATCGTTTATACAACGCTGATGTTTTCGAGTATATCATGGACAGTGAAATGACTCTATACGGAGCCATTCCTTTTATGCAAGCACATCGAGCAGCGTCAACTGTTGGTGTCTTTTGGCTGAACGCAGCCGAGACTTGGATTGATATTATCAAGGAGAAAGCATCCATCAATCCTTTGAGTGGAAAAACTGATACAAAAACTCATTGGTTCTCGGAGAGTGGTTTAATCGATGTATTTGTCTTCCTTGGACCAACACCAAAGGATGTTACAAAAGCATATGGAGAGCTTACAGGTTTCACACAGCTTCCTCAAGAATTTGCCATTGGTTACCACCAATGTCGATGGAACTATGTTACCGATGAGGATGTGAAGGATGTTGACAGAAAGTTCGACAAATTCCAAATCCCATATGATGTTATCTGGCTTGACATCGAGTATACCGATGGAAAGAAATACTTCACTTGGGATCCTCATACTTTCGGAAACCACGTTGACATGTTGTCACACTTGGATAAATCCGATCGTAAACTTGTTGCAATCATCGACCCTCACATCAAGAATGAAGCAAATTATAAGGTTGTTGATGAATTAAAGAGTAAGGATCTGGCTGTTCACAACAAGGAGGGCAGTATCTATGAAGGTTGGTGTTGGCCAGGATCTTCCCACTGGGTTGACGCATTCAATCCTGCAGCAATCAAATGGTGGAAGAGTCTCTTCAAGACGGCTGCCTTTGATACGCCTAATCTCTTCCTTTGGAATGATATGAATGAGCCATCGGTTTTCAATGGACCAGAAACAACTATGCCTAAGGATAACTTACATTTCGGAAACTGGGAACACCGTGATCTTCATAATGTCAACGGTTTGACCTTCGTCAACGCAACTTATGAAGCAATGGTCGAGCGCAAGAAAGGTGAACTTCGCCGTCCGTTCATTCTCACTCGTTCTTTCTACGCTGGAAGTCAACGCATGGGAGCTATGTGGACTGGTGATAACCAAGCTAGCTGGGATCATCTTGCAGCTGCGTTCCCTATGATTCTTAACAATGGTATTGCAGGTTTCCCATTTGCTGGTGCAGATGTTGGTGGATTTTTCGGTAACCCTGAAAAGGATCTTCTTACTCGTTGGTATCAAGCTGGTGCTTTCTACCCCTTCTTCCGTGGACATGCACATATCGATACCAGAAGACGTGAACCGTATCTCATCGGTGATCCATACACGGATATTATAACCCAAGCTCTCCGTCTCCGTTACTCTCTTCTCCCTGCCTGGTACACTGCATTCCATGAAGCAAGTACAGACGGAACACCCATTATCAGACCACATTACTTCGAATATCCAGAAGACGAATCCGGATTCGCAATCGATGATCAATTTTTCGTCGGTAGTACTGGTTTACTCGCTAAGCCAGTCGTCACAGAAGGTGCCGATAGCGTCGAGATCTATATCCCTGACAGCGAAGTTTACTACGATTACTTCGACTATAACATTTATACCGGCGCGGGGAAAACTACAATTGCAGCTCCTCTCGAGAAGATCCCTCTACTTATGCAAGGTGGTCATATCATCCCTCGCAAAGATCGTCCCCGCAGAAGTTCGGGCCTTATGAGATGGGATCCATATACTCTTGTTCTCGTCCTCAATAAAGAAGGAAAGGCAACTGGAGAATTATATGTGGATGATGGTGAGACTTTTGATTATCAATCTGGGGCCTACATTCATCGTTCTTTCTCCTTCGAAAATGGGGTATTGAGCAGTAAGGATATCGGAACCAAGGGCAAGTTGACAGATAAATATCTGAAGAGTATGAAGAAAGTAGGCGTAGAGAAGATTCTTGTTGTTGGTGCGCCAAAGGAGTGGAGTGGATTGAAGAGTGTAAAGGTGGGAAGCACAACGGCCGAGATCACGTACCATGCCGGGGAAGGAAACAAAGCTGCTTGGGCGTCTGTTAGAGCGCCAAAGGTAGCTATTGGAGAGGATTGGGAGGTGGAGTTTGTGGAGGGTGGGAAGACGGAATTGTAGTCGTGATTTAGCACCGATGCAGAAGGGTGGAGATTTACAGCGAGGATTTAGGATTAAGATGAGGATAGTAAATGATGAATCGAATTGAACTGATATCCATTTGCAAGATCTGAAAATAGCTAAGTTCTTTTGAGTAGTCAAACTACCCTGGTAAGATTACTGTCATGAAACCTTTCTACTCGTCACTTTAATATCATTTGCCAAATATGAGCACACACAATATGCCATGGTAATTCATTCCCAGCATCATATCACTCTGAACTTAAATCTAAAATCTAAAATTTAAAATCTTCTATTACCATTCTTTGTTTATACTCTCTTCTTCATCTTCTTCTTCCATCCAATCTCAGAAGCAAGACTACAATCTTCAAACCAAGAATCAAACAGAAAGCAAATAAAACTCCTCGCTATGAAATTTGAAATTTGAACATACAAACGAACGAACGAACGGAAATTGGATAACTAGGTAAGTGAAATCTACCCAAATTGGTTCTCAAAGCCAGATTTAAAGATAACCTTGGAAACTCTAGACTTCAAAGCAAATACCCGAAATGAAAGAAATTCAAATTCAAATTCAAATTTAAGAACGCCCAGACTCCTAGAAAGTACCCTTGTTTAACACCGTGGGTTGTGGTTGTGGTTGTGGTCAATTTGTCTTCCTGAACTCCTCGCTACAATTTGAGTGTGATTTTTGTGCTGTTTGTGTGTGTGTATGTATGTGTGTAGTTGTGTAGTTGTGTAGGTATGTAGGGATATGTATACACATGTAAGATTACAAAGCTTTGCTTTGCCTCTATTTTGGTTTTGTGTATTTGGGTTTAATTTCTTTTGATTTTCATTCTGATTGTTGGTGTAATGCATTAATTTCGTTGGGCGATTTAATGCATGTAGGTGCAAAGTCGTGTAGTCGTATAGTCGTGTATTTAGTTTTGTACAGGGTGTATGGAGGTTGCGTCAAAGTTGCAGAGTGCGGCGGAGAGTAGGTCATAGGAGCGAGCAAAAATGGAATGGTAGGAGAATGGAGAAGCATAAGAAGAGAAATCATCAGATAGTAGCTGCAGCGGGGCGAAGATCTTCGCGGCCATCTTGCCACGAGGTGCAGAATACGCAGCGTTGTGCCTGGGGTTTACAATTGTGAGCAGGTTTAGATTAATTGGGGGCTGGGGTTGTTTGATGGGTGATTAGAAATAGTGATAGGGAAGAGGAATAGTAAGTGAGAAGTACAAAATAAGGGGACAAGAACTGATAGGGAGATAAAGAGAGGGGAAAGGAAAGGAGAGAAAAACGGGGAGGAAATAACACACCTTCTCGAAAATCTTCTTGCGACAATATTTACAACGGACGGTGTGTTTGATGATAGCGTTGTCTTGACTGAAATACTGGTAGAGACCTGCTATGCCGTAAAGAGCGAGACCAACGCCTATGAAGTTTATCACTTTGTTTAGGAAAGAACTAGAGAGGTTGTTAGTTTGTTGCTTTATTGCGAGTCTGGGGGGAAGTGGGAAGAGATAATGCTGGAGATAGAAAGAATAGGAGGAACATGAAGATAATGAAACGAACTTAGAAGGAAAAAGAAGAGAAAGCGCTAAGAAAGGAGAATATAAAGAAACAAAAACCTACCCCCAAGCCAAAACAATAGCCCCGTCATCTATCGCCTGCTTCAAGGTATTATAGCCTGCTCCATACAAAAATTCCATTCCCATATTCACGACCATGGTTGCGTTTCCCTCCACTCCCTCTCCAATTCCATCACCGATGTCAGTGTGGTTGTGAAGCATACCATCATAATGAGGACCGGGCCTCAAAACCGCAAATTTCTCTTCAAGGTTCTTGTTTAGGAAAGGGAGGAGAGAAAGTGGTGGGAGGAGAACGGAAGAGACAAGTGAGGTTATAAGAGCTGTGAAGGATTGCGCTATTCTGTTTCTTGTGAGCGATTGTTTGAGGAAGTGTGTCACGTGGAGGGAATGGATAAGGTCGTGAATGCAGGGAATGGCTGAGAAGAGACAAACATACATCAAACCAATAGCAACATGAAGCACATTATCATTGAAAGCAAAATCGACAAATCCCTCCCAAAATCCCGTAATATGTCTACGTGCAGCGTTGGCAGCATTGGTAGTTCGGAGAAGTGGTTCGCTTGAGTCGAAGGCATTAAGACGTGGCCGAGGCATGGTTGATACTCTTTCCTGTTGACCTGACTAATCCAATGATTTTTCCAGTCTTTTAACAAAAAAAAGAAGAAAGAGAAGGAAGAAGGAGAATCAGATGTGAGTTTATAAGGGGGAAATGATAAAAAGAAAAGATGGGGAAAAAAGAAAAGGAAATGAATTAATGCAAATGAGGTTTGGAAGGAAGGATGAGTGAATCTAACACCGGTGAGATGTCTTTCAGGGATGCGTATCAGTGGCTGGCACGTGTAATAATTAGAGTTATGCGCAGGGATCATGATAAGGCGCGATAAGCGCCCCCAGATTCATCGGATTATTCTTTGGCCGACTACATGTCAAAAATTAATTTTTTTCGATGTTGATGCGGCCGCTTGGATTGACCCCTCATTGTCTCTTGCAAAAGTTTACTTAAACTCTCAAGGAAGATATATCACGAATACGAAGCGGAAAGCATCGTTGACTGGAAAATAAATACTACCATTAAGAATATTTACGAAAAATGGCACCCAAATTTTCAGAAGACGAAATCGATGATTTGATTTATTTTGCTCGGGTCGGGGAGAAAGACGAATTCGAGACTTTAAGAGAGGAATTATGTAAAAGAGAAGGATGTTCAGCAACTGAGTTGTTGGAGAGTGCCAGAGACAGTGAAAGTGGGAATGGCGTGTTACATATGTCTGCCGCCAATGGTCATCACGGTAATTCCCTCCTTTATCCAGTCAAAATCTGCCTCCTCCCGAGATTGGACCTAATATCTAACTAACTCCCAAACAGAACTTCTCACCCTCCTCGCAAAACACCTCTCTAATCCCTCTCCTCAAAACCCCCAAATGCTCAAAATACTCAACACGCAAAACGCATCTGGGAACACACCTTTACATTGGGCAGCCCTGAATGGACATTTAGAAGCAGTTAAAGTTTTAATAGAAAATGGAGCAGATCCAACGATTCAGAATCAGAAGGGACATGATGCAGTCTACGAAGCAGAATTGGCGGATAAGACTGAAGTCGTGGAATGGGTCTTGAAGGAGGGTGGTGAAGGACTGGAAGAGGGGATTGCGGGAGATGAGGGCGAAAGCGGTGATGGAGAAGAGGGAGTGGAAGTTGTAGAAGTTGCGGAGGGAGAGGGCTTGGTGGATAAGGTTAAGGAGTTGGGCATTGGCGGAAGCGGTTCTGGGGAGAAATGAACAAGTGAGGGTTTTGAAGAATTAATTTTACAAAAGAGACTCATGACGCCTAGTTAAGCCTATCCCGTCCTTTGTTAATGATCAGACGTAGATAGCGCTGGCATTTGGATGGCTGAAGTTAGAAGTTACATTGAATTTGCGCTACCATTGATGAGATAGTCGGCGCTCAATGGATGTATCCGGCTCATCAGCGGGGATAACATTGGGATATCCGATGAAACCAAAACGCATAATAACAAATCAAATATAGAATACCGTTGAAACCTCTTCCTTTGCATCCTGATCTCTTTTCGATGATATTTAATGTCGATAGAGTATTTGAGATAGACAATCAGCCTTGAAAGACACCTGGTACCTGACTCATTCTCTGATAGAAGGCAAGAACTATATCGTTGATAGTTTCCGGCGTTACTAAGTTATCGGATAACTTGTGGACATAAAGATCTCTAGATTAGGTCCAAAGATGTAGCCCGCTAGATACTCTCTCGGAAGAATACCTCAAAATCAATTTGCGTCATAACAACTGATTGTCATTCACCATAAATATTTACATTACATATCAGCCATGTATAGCTCGACGCTAAAATCTTACAATCTGAACATCGAAGTTCCGAAGAAGAAAAATTTCCCGCCAGTTAGTTCACCGCGATTCCTCAACTCAATGAATGTGAACGATGATGTCTCTCATTCATCAACGAATCCAGTGAGTTCGTCTAAACTGCACGGTACCATAGCATAGCAAAATGAACGGCCAATCGTGGCTACAAAATCTTAAATGATGAAACTTAGAGTCGTAGCCGACGTCAGTGGGGACGCATATGAATTTATTTTTCAATGCTACTACCGTGACTGACTCCTAAGAGGCTGTCGCGTACATGACACTACGGTGCATTCCCAGTGTGTTCCATAATTGACCTTTTATCGAAGTATTAGTACGATTCTAAGAACTTTAGGGTGGTAAGCTTGAGGTTTGTTGCATATCTGGATAAGAGATAACAGTATTTGACTTTAGAATGATGATCTAGAAGCCTTGAGTTATACTTCACAAGCTCGCTTAATTATAATTGGCTAGCATAGTTTTATTAGTGTTGTTTAGGAGGGAAATTTGGGACATGTTGCGTATCTGGATAAGAGATAAGAATAGTTAACTTTGGAATAAGTTTTGGGATTGCAGATCAGATGTGATTTATTCAGGTTCTTCGGCTGAATGTTTCCGATGCTGTTACATTTTTGCGGGGGCTTTTCTTTTCCTAGACGCAAGTTGTTATCATTGAATAAGTCTGTTTGATAACTTTGGTTTTGGTATTCAAACCATCTTCTTTGAGCCTCTGATTGTATGTGCCGATATCTGGTACTGCCTTTCTCAATTAGCAATCTGGGATACCGTAATGTAATCAGATATCCGCAGTCTAGTCTGATGATCGGCAGAGCACTATATATCGAACGTCATTTCTGATAGATGCAAAATAACGCCAAAGATGTATTATGGTGTCAATGAACATGTTTTTTCATTCTGTGAGCCGCGGAAGAGCTAATCGAGAAACCAAATCTAGGGTCCAAAGTCTTTTCCAGATGTCATATCAGTATGACGATATCTAAGTAACATTAGATTCCACCATTATCTCCTCGATTCCCCATCTCAACTTCATCATTTTGCTCGAGAATTGCTCTCCACAGCCTTCATCCTCGCAATAATCCCCTCCAATATCTCGACTTGGGTATCAACACGCATTCTCAAATAATGATCAGAATACATTGTGTGTTCCAGACTTCGATATACCTCAAGATCCCTCAGTGTCGGCATTCCTAAGGAGGAGTTAGCGACTGTCTACACACTTTCAAAACAAGAAGGAATCAGCTCGCATACCAGTTGCACCATCAGGTCTTCTCGCATCCATGTGAGCCACATCCCGCAAACTCTGTTCAATCGTTGGAAGATTCTCAAACCATCCTTCATCTGCCCATCCTTGCATCATTTGATAGCAGCAGAGCAAGATAGTGTGGAAAAGAGGATTAGCTGCGCGATAGGCAGGCCGATCGAAAAGGTTTAATTCATTGCCGATTCGGACGTAAACTTTGTCGGGGGAGACAGTTTGACCGATAACACGAAGGAGTGCGAGCTCTATCTCTCGGCAGAGCAGAGAATCAGGCTTGAGTTCTAGAGGTTGTTAGTTACTCGAAACAAACTAGCAGTGGCTAGGTAATAGGAAGATAAGTCGTTCATTGAATGGGTTACCTACCGACAATCCCCTTTGCAGCGTTGACAGCCCAAGTTATTTGCAACTTGTCCATGAATTCATCAATAGTCCCAGTAACAATCTCGATGGAGTTGTTTGGGGAGGGAAAACTATCTGATAGTGGTGGCATTATTGATTTGGTGGATTGAATGGATTGACTAGAATTTTCTGGTATGAATCTAGTAAGAAGAAATAAGTGCAGCAAAAGGCGAGACACAGATTAACAGCTGAGCTGTTGAAACTCTAGTTGTTTTATTGTTTGAAAGCTCGAGCATCAAAGTGTGGGAGACACTTTATAGCCGAGGGCTTGAATGAATATTATTCACAAAATATTTTCAGCAAGTGTTTTTGTGAACCAGTTGATAGCAGGATAGTGAATTTCCCAAAAACTTTTGGGGATGGGTGGCCAATAAAGAAAGGTTGAACAAGGTGGAGCCAATAAGGCGGATCAATATTGAGATACGAAGTAGAATAAATAGGTAGGATATATTCCATGGTGTGGTTGTTAGCTCTGATCCTATTATGAGAGTCCATTCTATGATATTACTTGAGTTAATATATCTTTATGAATGTAGGTACACAAAGCAAGAAGCGGATTGCTGTATAATCTATTTCTATGTTTACTTAGTATCACATATAACTTAAGTTTCAGATCTATCTGACGATTGCTTGTCAGAATAAACGTAATGCAAAGTCTCTGAGAGACAATGGACAATAGCGCTTTATGTCAAACGGTGTCGTTGGGCAGAGAATAAATCAAGTTTTTTGCCTAGATTGGAGGCAATAATGAACAACTTCTCATGCTGACTGCAAGTAATAAGTACACGAGAATCTTTTGCCCTTAGAAATGAATATTTGGTCATGCGTATGATCCAAAGAAAACTATATGAATGCGCATTTGAAAAGTATTCATGAAATATTCACTATCATTACATAGTTGGCGCGATCACATAATTGGATGCGCAAGAAAACGGAAGCATGAAGATGTAATAACATTATGAGAGGATAGGGTTCTTGTTGGTATGGTAAAGCTAATTGTAAACCGTACTTTATGATGAACGAATCTCTTTGAGCTCTACAGCGACCAAGAGCCTTATAGATAAGATCAAATCTGAGACTATACTATGCAGAAAGGGTAGAATTATCCACGATGCAACGGCACATGCGTTATTAAACGAAGACAACAGAACAGGACTTTAGTTGGGTAGGTAAGAGTATAGCAATTGAAACTGGAATACCAGGAAAAGACCTAACACGCAAACATGCTACAAATTTGATAACATAGAAGAATGGAAATCGCTAGATTAACCAGAAAAGCGGTCCAGATGATAATGGCATATAGTTCTGGTACTGTGGGTCATTTAATGTTCTCAGTAGAGAACTTTGAAAGGTCTGAGTCATTGTGCAAGACGGCCTGGTGTGTCCGTATTCACTTCCAGAGATTTCCCCCAAAGATCACATTGAAATAATTACATGCCAAAAGCCGTAATATGCGACTTCGCGGACTCTAGAATGGGAGGGGGGGATATCTGAGCACTTTATCAAGTCAGATATTTATACTCCAAGTAAGACAATTTCAAAGAACTACTTGCTTCAGCGAGTCTCTATCTCTGGAAGTTTTTTTCCTCTAGAATTTTCATGCACGCCCGTACCTTCATTATCTTCTCCTCGGCATTAACGTCAATGATGAGGAAATACAGGCGAAGTCCAAGGAATCTCTTGAAGAGCTAGGCTTCCCATGAACTGTCTAGCCAGAATCAAAAGTTGTCAGCATGAAAGATGATGTAAGTCACACAAATAATATTCAGAAGAGTCGGTGGGCCCAAATATTAGCTGTTTCTCATTGCTAAGCTACAGCGCGGACTAGAAGCAAGTTGGGCTTTTGTGGCTAACACATATCTTTAGCATCGCCATGCTACTCTAAATATCAAAACTCACAAGGCATTGAACCAAATACGAAACTGTCTATCTCCCATTCAAAGAAAACCACCAAAGCTGAGTTGGCAAATCGACTTGCAACTTAGACTAAACAGATAGAGTCGAGGCAATTTACTCCCATAGAATACACCAATAAGCTCATCGGTGTAGCATTTTCGAGTAGCCGCGGCGAGAGCGGTGGTGGTGGTAGCGAACTCGCTTCTGTTTTTCGACGAATGGAATCTAGTATTGATATTTGATCAGTACGACTAAATCTATGTCAAGCAGTCAGAATTACCGTGTCTATAGTATAACAGGCTTCTTGCTCTTCCTCAAGCTTCTTGTTCCATGCAGCATTAACTACCAAACTGTATTGATTTTGAGCAGCAGCTAATGCTATTTCATAATTGGATTTCGCTCTGTATTCATTATCGCAGACGATACAGGAGCCCGACCGATATCCGTAATCGTCTCCTAGAGCGTTCAGGTTTTCTTCGTTGCCGCAGAGTCTACCGTCTTGGGACATACTGCAAAGTTGGTAGGTCCATTTTGTCCATTTGTGTGCAAGCTCGCCATTTAGGAGAAGCAAACAACCAGCCGATTGCAAGACAATAGATGAAACCTTGCACATTTTGCCCAGTGGTGGCCTCGGATTGAGAGGTCGTGATGATGTTTTATCTTGAGATTATGTTTGAAAGTAGTTGGACTGATATGACAGCAAATTCAAGATTCTGTGCAAACAAAAGTCCATCAATAAATCTTGGTTACCCTTTAGATATTATTTAGTAGGCAATTAGTCACTTGTGTTACAGTGTTATGCTCCAAGCGTGGCCCAATGAATACCGATTCGAATAGACTTGGTGAACTATGGCTTTGTGTTTCTTTTTCTTTGGACCCTTTGCGCGTTTGCAGATTTGTGTAACACAAAATCGCGGTGTGACTGATCTACTACAGCCGATATCTTCAACGTGTATTTTTGGTGTAACAGAGTACTTCAAGCCTCACAAATTACTAGAGGATTAGTGCCATTGCCGCGTGTGCAAAGTAAATAGCGCAATTAGGTATGGCCTGTGCATTCTTCAATGTATAAGGCAGAGAGAGGAAAAAAGATCTATCTCAGCTATAATTATCTTCCAGAATGACAATCCAATCCCAATAGCGGTCAAAATATTCAAACAAATCGATGCTAGCAATGACAGCATAAATCTTACTGACGATTTTCTTCCTCGCTCGTCGAGTTCATCCACATTCCGTGTTACGCTTTGATCATGTCGTCATTCAGTGGCATTTTCCTAATGCGGTAATCCCCATCTCCTATTCCGGTAGCGAGACAGAAAGCTTAATAATCTAGAAACAGTGGGTGCACGGACTATTCTTCGATATCTACCTCGACATATTGTCTATATAAACCATGCTATTGACACTCAATTCCCAAGTCATTCTGCTCATCATGGCATTTACTCTTTTCTTGATTATCGATTTCCCTCACCATTAAATCCAAAGAGAGTCAAGCGATTGATAGCAATGGCCGATACCACCGCTACAGACAAATCCAAGCCTTACTTCCCCCTTGCCGGCGGAGCAAACGACGGCTGGTCCACTGACGATGAAGCAACGGCAACATGTTTCTGCGGTGCTGTGCAACTTGCATTCGTAAGTCGAAAATCGAGAGATTAGATACCATACTCTGACACTAACTCTACCGGGCAGCCGACCCAAGGCCCTGGCCTAGTTAACACATTCATCTGCCACTGCCACGACTGTCGCAAAATCACGGCGTCAATGTTCGCATCTAACTTCACTATCGCTGATTCTCATTTAAAACACGTCCGTGGCCGCGAAAATCTGAAAGTTTTCAGTCAATCCAAGACCATCGCGACCGGATCGACAATGGCCAATCACTTTTGTGGGACTTGTGGTACGCTTATGTATCGTGTTGGCTCGAGATTTCCAAAAATGAGCATTTTGAGAATTGGAACTGTGGATGATTTTCATTTACATGAGACGAAGTTGAGACCCGGGGTAGAACAATTTACCGAGGGGAGAGTGGGGTGGTTGAGAGAATTGGAGGGGGTGAAACACTCTGCAGAAGGAGCCTTTTAGTTGAAGTATATGGAACACATGTAGTGGCGATATCCAGATTGCAAGAAGTAAAGCAATAATTAAGTTCAGTATCTATTTGAAATTAAAATAAATAGGCCGTAAATTTTTTAGACATCCTCCAGTGATGATCAAAGCTTTTCTCCTTCTTTCATAAATGGAAACAATACAGTCAAGTGACTTTGAGCAAACGAAAGCTCGATTATCAATTAGCGTTCGGAATATTACTGATGAATACTACCAATACAGCACAATATCTACTTCAATTAGCCTGAGTTCAAATAGATCAGCAAGGAAGACTCACCCAGCAGCGGCGCCAAATATTTCATGTCTTTTGGCCTGAGTAAAAAGTGACAAGACAGCAGAAAATAGAAGTGTAAAAATAAGTAGCACGCCAATACTAACTGTGTACGTGACATCCAGGTTATGATGCTCGGTGAGCCGGTACAAAAGGAATACTGGGAGAACAAGAAGAAGGAGTAACACTAGTACGAGAAGACTCGTTACGAATATTTCTTTTCGGGATTTGCTATAGAAATGAAGGTTTGGGTCTGTTGTCTTTTCTCGGTCTTCTGTGGTGCAAAAAATTGACTTTCATTTGTTAGCCCATGGGTTTATTAAAGAGAGAACGTTGGTATTGTACTTGTAAGAATGCACAATGAAAGATCTGGAGGAATCTTTCGGTCATGGTATCAAGATATGCGCCTTCTCTTCCCTCACGCAAGGTGATGAGGTCATTTTTTTCGTATATGAATCCTTGCTCCTCGTCAACGAGAGGTTTCTTGTCAAAGATGTATCGCTCGACGCTTCGATAATCACTGTCGGCAGGACGGTTCATGGCATTCACATGCTGAGACCGGAGTAGTAGCTCGTCTAAGATACATAAGTTCGTGCGTAAGCTTTTGATTGTGGTCAATTGGGAATGCTCACCGTAAGCAGCTAACTTTGCTTCTATTTCGTCCAGGACTATAGTCCTCGTCCGAAGAGTTGGATCTTCAGCGAGCTCCTTTCTCTCAGCTGCTATATCTGCATTTCTAGATCGCGCCCGTCGTTTATCGGGTGCGTCTTCTGCTTCGTCGAGATCATCAAGTTCGTCTAGCTCCATTTCTAGTCGACGAATCTCATCCTGTTTGCGGAGAAGTAAACGCGAATGAAGATATCCGAAGCGTCGATAAATTTTGAAGTTTTCATCGCTGTCTAGAAATATACTTAAAGATCGGTAGCTTTTTTGATGTTCCGATACTATGAAAGAAGTTATTGGCCAATGAATTCAATGTTTATTTTTGTTACACAAACTTACGACTTCTCACATGGGGTTTTCGCAAGTCCTCATCCGTGGTAGGTTTTGATGTTTGCCAAGGGCGCCATTGAACAAACGATTCTCGATATTGAGAAACTTTTCTGGTCGTAGGAGTAGATGAATTTGTTGCAAAAGTGCTTCCTTTAGAGAATTCAGTAGAAATGGTGGGTGAAGTACATGGGGAGTTGAATAATGGTAACGTGTTAGAAGCCATTTTATTTTAGTTTTTGCTGAATTAATGAGGAAGATGCGAACATCTGCTAAACGGAATAATGTAGTTTATATCAACGTTTCAATTAGAGTTAGCCGTGAGGCGATGAATTCTGCCAACGCAAGCTGTATCATTCTTCTCATTTTCAGAAGATGGGCGATGGCGATGCCTGCGAGAAGCACTCAGCCTAGATACACGGCTACAAATGGCGAGTTGCATAAGAGCTTATGCAAGTATAGCCTGTCATGTACCACCAATAGAATCCCGACCCCACCATAAGCCGCATAATCAAGCTGAACTGAGCCTTTCCTGCTTGACCCATTCACCTTCCTTATACAGCGCCCCAGTCTTTGGGTCCTTGACTTGATACACGAATTTTCCCTTCTCTTGCTTTCTTGCAAAGATTTTGAATTCAAAATCCCCTTTCCTTGGAATGCTCAACCAAGCACTATCCTCTACATTGAACAACGCCATCGACTAGCATGATAATCAGAATCATCCATAAAAGTGGAATTGAGGGAATACTGACATCCGAAGGATTCTTAGACTCTGTATAAATTGAACGGTCCTCAGGCGTCTGTGGTCTCTTCTGAAAATAAGTAAGACTAGTAATTTATCTTGTGCAAGCTGTGAACTCACCGTAATCTCTGTCTCAATTGACAGTATTTCCGACATTTTGTGAGGCGGATTGATGGACTGGTCTTTTGGAATCGTATATATTGAAGAAAATGATTACGAGGTTTTGATTTGAAGAGAATTGAATATGCCCGGAGGAAAGCCTTACGAAGGGATCTTTAAATCAACCCTTCTAAGGCTCTGCAGAGCCTCGATCTGACATTACCTGCATAATGATATGGATTACAAGCAGTCATCCGCTTACGACCATTGTGGTCACCGATAGATTGACCAAAGAAACGAAGGATTTACAGTGGGGCTTATCTTCAATCTGCTCAGCCACATCATCCCTCATCTTTTGTACGTCCAACTTTTGGCACAACTGAATTGAGAACTCATACATAAGTGGCGATTCTCAGGAGTACCCCTCTGGTTCGTTGCGAAACTCCAACCAGAAAGGATCTATTTTACGAAGCTACTAAATTGCGTTCTAGACTTTTACGCGGTGTCTAAACTACGGGATGGCCTCCAGCAAGTCAAATTCTGTTTTGAAACCTGACCATGATAGCAGAAGAACTACAGCTCCAACCATAATTATTCCCCCAACCGACTACCAAGACAAAGAGGCATCGAATGATTCCAAATTCAAGGCGATTTTCGATGAGCATATGAGTGCAAAGAATGCCTCGGTTGCATACCGCGAAGTACATGTTCTTCTGTTGTCATGGGACCGTAAAGTCGATGATCTACATGTAGAGAAAGAGGTAATTAATTATCATTAGGGACTATCTCTTCAATGATGCTGACGTTAGCAGGTTGCGGATCTCGAGAATGTATTTCGGGATATTTTCAAATATAAAACAACACAAAAGATCTTGCAGCAGAATCCGAAGAAGCATCCACAAGTTCAAATAAACCTATATCTTGCCCAGTTCGTTGCGGATCATGATGATCCAAATACTCTTCTTATTGTCTACTATGCCGGGCATGGCAAACAGAGCGACGATGGGGATGGATTAGCTTTAACTCCGTAAGATGTGGAAGACCTACCCCAGATATAGAAATTTCTAATACGAAATTAGATCAACAACTCAGCCAGATGAGGAAAATGAGTTACACGAGATTGTCTGGAGCTCCGCAGAACACAACATACAGAACACCAAAAGTGACGTTCTAGTCATATTTGACTGTTGCAATGCTGGCGAAATGGATCGCAATGTTCGTGGCTCTGACTTCACCAGAAGAGCATTTGAATACATGGCTGCAACTTCTCAGAATTCAACTACGAGAAAGCCAGGCCCTAAATCATTTACCGTTGCCCTCATCTGGGCCTTGAAAGAATTAGTCCGGTCCAAGACCGGGAAGCGTTTCAGTACGCAAGAATTGGTTCGAAAGATTTACCAAGCGCCCAATTTTCCAGAGACTCAGGCGCCAAGATTAACAGAACGAGGCCCGATAGGATCTTTGAGAAAAATTGTCCTAGTTCCTCTGGATCAACAATCAAAATCTGGAGTCCGAGGAGAGAATAGCGCTGGACAGACAGATGAGATAAAAGAGACATTGAATCTTCGATTCGTCTTTAATGGTCGAATCACCAACAAGATAGTCAGAGAACTTGCTAAGGATCTAACCCATCTTATAAGTGGGGGAGACTTTGTGGCATCCACGGTCCTTTGGGATGGGATCAATACTTCTAATTCGACCAAGAAACGATTCCGTGATGTTGTCACCCATGTAATTGGACAGAACCACGAAAGGAATCGGAACAAATCATCAATTCAAAATGTGGATGGTGCACGATTCTCACCAATCACACCTGTAACACCCACAATACAACAAGAATTGCCAATTTCATCCGAAGATAATGTTGATTATATACCCAATCCACAGCACTTATTCCCAAGCCCTTCACCAGAGATTGCGTTAAATAAAGGAGAGAGAATTGGAGGAGACGGTGATTCAGATTTGTCTAAGAAAAGAAAACGAGAGGAGAGTACGATTCAAGACTTGGGAGCTGTTGATGCGATATCTAACTCGTCACTTACACCACGTAAGACAAGACAAAGTAAACGTCAGTCTTATAATAGGAAGATCTAGAGGAGCGATTGCTAGAAACTTGGGCAATGCGTTGTCAGTGTAATCGAGTTGGCACACTTAAAGCTTTTTGTTTCATTTGTAGCTTCATAGATATCATGGGAGGTTTCGTGGATCTAATTTGAGGGATTACAGGGCAAGAAACATGATTGCACCGGAGATAGTGATCCGGGCAACATTTTGGCTTCTACATATAGATAGACAATCTTTTTTGCACATTTCAGGTCATTCATGATTTGAAGTAGAGGATCTCGCGGCATTCCAATCAGTTCATAAATATTAAAGGCGACGATACTCCGGGCGAAAAAAAAACTTAACTGGCATAACCTAAACCCGTTTCAACTTCGCCATGCATTTTTCGTAACCATCTTTTGGTGCTCAATGCCTGAGATTTTCGATCTGAACAACCAAAACATGTTGAGCTAGCTTGAGCACATGTAACTCGGTTTTGTGGGGTGGATAGACGCTGAATATATATACAGATGTGGGGCAAATGTTCGATAATAGCATTCAGCAATCTAATTCTTTGGATGTGGCATGATTTTACTTTTTGCATTTCATAGATCTAAAGTGAGACAACACCCCTAGTTTCGAAGCAACAATTACCGTGATCAATTCTTCTTTGGATGATAAGTCTTTGAGCGAATTCCAATACATGGGCCATCAGTATTTTATCGATCTTGTTTCTGCCAGTCTTATGAAAGCCAAGCAAATCTAACTTAGTTTGCCCCACTATCGCAAAGAGACATGAAGCATGCTTTTGTTTTTAGTCAGTAGAAGGCGAGGCTTCTGGAGCATAACTTATCATTGTGGCATTTCTTTAAATTGTTCACATGCAAACGGTACTTGCTTAATCATGGTTTCCAACATACTTACCACTTAACCTCAGGGATTGACCTCACATTGCGAGCTTTTCAGTCCTCGCTTCGGCTCGCTACGCACGGAGCGTTAATCGCTATTCACCAAGATTGCCCGGCAAGTTCCTACCCAAATCTTTCACAATCCCCACCAAAAAACACCAAACTCGAAATCTTCAAAAAGACCTTTGAAACACATCTAGAAATTCAAAAAAAAAAATGGCAAAAGAAATACTGCATCCACCGTGGATCACAGTATGAAGAAACCCGCATTGGGTTTGCTTCGGGGGCTGGGGCAATCGACATCAAAGGCTCTGGGTTCTCAGTATAACGTGTTACCACGGGGCCACGGGACCATCAGCTCACTTTGATGTTGATGAGTGATGTACTTTTTTTTGACATATATAGTTTGGTAACTGAATATTCTCCTAGGTATGGGGATGAATACTTCCCAACTAATTACACAAAGAATTTTCCGCAGTTTCTCCGAAAAGATCACTTCTCAAGATACACTCCCATCTAATCTATTCACTTTCAAAAATTAAGTTCTAAATCTTCATCCAAAGCACACCCTCTCCATGTTATCTCCAAGGTTAAAAAATGTCAAAAAATCAAAAGAAATACCGCCCTCGCGAGCGGTACCCAGAAACCGTGAATGTTTACTGTACTAATCAAGGTCAAAGAGGCCGGGGTTCTCAGTGGACAATGTTAACCACAGGACCATCAGGAAACTTTGCATTATGTTGATTGAGAGGGGAGTCCATACTGGGGACTATATTGTCTTGGTTGAAATGCTGAATAGTGCACTCTGCCAAGCTGGAGCTAGAGCGTTTTTTGATTATAGCTTAATAAGGATCACATTCTCAGTAAGGTATTTCTCACCTTTAAGACTATTCGAAGCTTCTTAGCTGTTTGATCCTCGGCTTTACTTTCTGAACTCAGCTACTCAGAATCTGTATCGCTATTTCATATCACCTCAACGCGAAGTCGGTATACCCACTCTCAATTTCAAGTAATCATGTTGTCAATATTATTATTTTACTGAGTATACTTTCCAAAAATGGACGACATCCTTTTTCCCATACCTTCCTTTCTTTTCTGTCTCATCTTTTGCTCCTGCCAATTCCATTTTCTGCTTAGCAAGTCTACACAGTCCCAAAAAATCTCAGTCGTTACAACTCATAAACAGCTTATATCGAGACCTGAACGATTAGTGGGAAAGAGAAACTGTTAGGATCAACTTAGTTGATAAGTGTAAAGTTCTTTAGTCTATTATGGTTGTATTCGTTCTTGATCCTTATGATCTATGGGCAGCTAGTACTTAATATAGGGAAGCGCTAGCGCCGCGCTAACTAATACACTTCCCTCTTTGATCATATGATCGATATCCCGACAGAAATGAACCCCCATCCCACCATATATGGAAACTCGCTTCTCAACTTATCATTTTGTGCAACCCGTTCTCTCCATCTGAAAATTATAAGGTTATACTTCACTCAAGATAGACCTTGCCAAAGCAAATCTCAATCGATGTAAACTTCGTCCCATGAAATTCAAAGTCACAAATCTATTTACACAGAAAGAACTATCTCATATCCCACTGAATTCCTCTATAAGAACAATCCAAGATGAATAAACGAAGATTAGCATCAAGTCAAATTAGATGAGAATAAATGTTTGAGCTATTAATACTACACTTTTTATTATACGTTTTGGATTAACTAAATATAAAACTCTTGATATTTGTATATCAAAATTATAATTATCTCATAAGAAGTAAGTCGGATACCCCACTTTCGGGCCACCCCCCTTTTGGGCCACTTTTAATACCAATAATACACCAAAAATGGAATTTATAACTATCACGGAGGTAATAGCTATATCTAATGGTCACTTTGATCAGGAGATAGATATGTAAAATGATAATAAACTAGATTGACTTGAGATATAATCATAATAATCATACCTACTTTATATACCCTGATCGAATAAGGTACTCGTCTAATTAGATATATAGAGCACACAAATAAAATGAATAAAATAGTGTTAGTAATCATAGGAGTAAGTACTCCGAAAGAGTACCGGGATTAGTACTTGTAAGATTATACTATACAGTGAATTCCGTGACAATAACTTTCTTATTTATAGATAGAATTCAATGAAAATTTGTATATATATAATTTAAATCGATTTAAACTTATTCTGAAATTTTTAGATTTTTAGGATTTTTCTATATTGAAATCTAGAACTTCGAAATATCGATTTTCAAATCTATATAGGAATTATATATAAATTTAAAACTTTTATAAAATCTTAAATAACTTTTTAACAACAATTATTAAAAGAAAACCATATATATTTTTGAAATATTTAAATTTGAATTTATATAGAAATTCAAAAAAAAATTCGAAAAAATTTACAAATATAAAGATATAATATACAATGAATTTAGAGTAGTATAAATAATCCCTGTCATTTTAAGGATACCCCTATAAATATTTATTTATAAGGAATTTTCTATTTTTTCTAAATCTTTTATATTAAACATACTATAAATTTATAGTAAAATTTTATAGTTTATTTTTAGCGATTTTTGTTAGAAAGTTATTAAAGATTTTATAAAAAAATTTAAATTTGTATATGATTCTCATATAAATTTAAAAATCGATATTTTGAAGCTCTAGTTCTCAATACAGAAAAATCCTAAAAATCTAAAAATTTCAGAATAAACTTAAATCGATTTAAATTATATATATACAAATTTTCATCGAATTATATTGAATATTAATAGAAATATTAATAAACCTAAAAAGTGATTTTTGGTGTGAAAGGGTGGCCCAAAACAAGGGTGGCCCGAAAATAGGGTAACCGATTTAATTCAATTATAGAAATCACATTTCTACATCAGAACCTCGATTTTTATTAAATTCTGAATAAACTAAGATTAGTATTAGATCAAATTAGATAAGAACAAGCCTTTGAGCCACCAAAACTACACTTTCCATTATGCATTTTGGACTAGCTAAATACAAAACCCTTGATGTCCATACATCGAAATCATGATTATCCCATGAGAGGTGATCTAATTGTAGAAATCACATTTCTACATCACAACCTCGGCTTTCCATTACATTCTGGAATATGTGAATAGGCTGCGCAAAAACCATCTTTACCCGTTGGTAATCTGCAGATATTTCGCACCATGGGTTATTCGTCAGAAGTCCCAAGTCCTACATGCCTTGCAGATTATCTGTCGAGGTCATTATCCGCCCCACGGGTACCGTTACCGAGCCTAGATGCGAATGAAACTGGATACATGATTAGCTTTCTTCATCCAGTCCCGTGATAACTAGACTAGAGACTACTATCCCGTATCGAAATAACAAGAAGTATCTCTGCATCGCTATGGCGTGTTTCCATAGCGACTTTTCATACCCTTCTTCCCTTGGTCTATTCCCATTTCATTATTCACCACTCCATACTAAGAATTCCTTACCCCCGACCAGTCTCGCGGGTCATAGACTCACTCTTTTCCACTCCAAGTACAATACAATATATCCCTGTAGGATCGACCTTCCCTGTGATTTAAACTCACACTTTCTAGGGTTGTGATATGACCGTCAGATCACATTGATCTACCCCTTTCTCTGTATCAACTGCTCCATCAAAGATGATAGTAAATTTGAATCACATAGATCATCTTATACCAGAATTCAATCATGTGATATCTATAGAACTATCGAGGGTTTCGCTTTACCAGGTCGAATGGTGCTATATACTTGGTCATGACTTAACAGTGAAGTCGAATTTACAACCCCAGTACTTTCTGATACCTTTTCTATCGTTTCATATAAGATCCAGATATTGAAAAGTCTATCCAAACAGAAATGGAATATGTATCACCAGTATCCTTTGCGAAAATAATCTTACAAAAATACAGCGCATGAGGTATTTGACTACAAGGGAGTCGCGACTTTCCGAAAATACACACGAGCCTAGCAATTCAGTATAAAAGCATTGATAAATGAAAGACAAGCACGTGGCCTATGAATAAGAAGAATGTTTGTAGACAATAAGTTGTTTTCGTGTTTAACAACCCAAACGGTGAGATATAGCGTAGTGAATGCGATACGTTAATAAGTACCT